AATATAATGATGAATTTGAATATAACAAAGATTCATGCCACATTGCATAAAACGATTAATTATTCAAACATATAAATAAAATATATGAATTAGTGCGAGACAGAATGATGAGGCTACGTTATTATATTGAACAACCAACCTAAAAACCACATGCAGGTAAGCCACTATAATTATTCAAAATTCCGGAGCTGTACCCCACCCCAGTGCTATAAAAATGGAACCATGCACCATGAGTAACTTTATATCGGTTGAATTGATGACAGAAAGTAAGTAAGTAAATCTTTAGAAAGTATATTTAAAAAAATGTAACTTCACGATTGTCTCTTAGATAGTACTTATGTAAAAAGTAGCGAACATAACCAAAACATACGGATGCAGAAGAGAGTCCATGTGAGGAAGAAGTGTAGGAAGTGGTTGCCATAAATACATCCGTTTGCCCGACACACGATCAAATTTAGTTCATGATTGCGCTCAAAAGTGTATAAAGGGTGGCTCACCTGTAAGACATTGGTTTTATCACATAACAATGCAATGTAAGGCCTATAGCCTGCCGTCTGTGTTTACACGCATCAAATGTGTCTCGGCAGATGGAAGGGTCAAGTGGCAAACATAAACAATAAACAAATCGTGTTAAATTTTGTAAGCTAAGAGAGGATTTCTGAATATCATTCCACGTTGCCCCTAAACATGGGAAACTAGATTTGGGATGCACCCCAGTATTAGAAACCCTAAATTCAAAAGAGTATGTTCCATCAACGTGAAAGATTAAAAAGAACAAGGATGACCAAACAGATAGAAGAGGTAAAACAACGAAGAAAACGACTGGATAGAAACAAGAAATTACCAATGTATCATTTTCATAAATCTAATTTGCCGACTTGAATAAGAAGGTAGTCGCCATTTCTGCAGGCCTACCTACTAATTTATTCTACCAATGTCGACTTAAAAATCTAAACAGTGTCATACAAACATGATAAACTTTTTGCAAAAAAATTTCTTTTCTTTCCCTATATTTACTATATAGAAATGGGAATATTACACCACAACCACCAGTGTAATCACATATATTTTAGTTAATATGATTTTAGAAAAAGCTCTTTAGTTATCTAGAATCTACCATGAGAAGGAAAAAAAAGTAAATGAATTACTAACCGGAGGAATCATTTGTTTCAATATAATTGGTCCTTTATTTATTTTCAAAAAAGGCAAAATGGGGTAAGAAACAAAAAGTAATAGAACCACATACATGAGTTAAAGAAAGCTGAAGTCCTCTTCATGCATGTACATTCAACATTTACCTCATATATATTCGAATGATAAGAAAGATAGACAAGAAGTTAACTATATCAGAGCAGAACTGTTTTATTTGCATCTCTGCTGTGCATGGTCAATTCTAGGATTCCAACACATAATTTTTGAAGAAGGAGTTGACACACAGTAAGAGAATTGATTCAGCTTCTCCCTAACCTGATATCATGGAGTTTCAGATTTGATTTATCGCCTTTAATTGCCAATTACAATGGGATCTGTCGTAACGCGAGATTCTTTATCATAGCGCACACTAAATCTCTGATATTACACGCGGGTTCAACCCATTTGCGAGTCCCTCGGGCCTTACGATCTTGTGAGGGGGATAGGCGCGACAACTAGAAAACTCCTTAGAGGAATGATATGGTCTTCTAGCATCGTATCAGTGAAGAGAGTGTAAATGCAGAATCAACAGTTGAGACTTTCACATCGTTGTTTTCTTTTTTTTTTTGCATATGGTAATGGCCTAACAAAGACGAATGTTGAAGGCGTCGTTGGTTCAGGTTGGGCCTTTAATTTTGCAATTGTTGTATTTTTTTTCTTCCTGTATTATTATTCTGCACACCTCTCAATTCCACAACTGCCAAATCGTCAACATGTTAATATTAATAATAGATGAAATGGATTTTGAATCGGAAATGGAAGTACACTAAAATAAAGTGACAGACTCTTGACTCATTTTTAAAGTTGTAAACCTCGTAGTTTCAATTAGTATTACCTAAACAAATAGGAAATTGCAATTTATTAGGAAATACAATGATTTCACGTAAATCTCGTAAATTATCTAACCCCCAGAATTCCAAGCAACCCCTGCCATAACTTAATTCGCTTTAAATACATGAAGAATAAGGTCCATTTATTAATGCTTACAATCTTTGTACAATGGGTTCAGCATAACGGTTATCTTACTTTCTTTCCTCTGTCGTAATCTTGGGTGTACGCAACAAATCATTTCGTGCTGTTCGTGCGTGCTATAGTGAGATGATAGAGGTGACGAGAATGAAGAGCAAGTTAATATCCATACATTTTCTCTATCGCTATATATGATTAAATCTTAATTCTGATTTTACTGACGCTTCCTCGTCTTGACGGCAATAGACACATCTTGTCAGTGTATTTCTTCTTGGGGCCGCGCCATACACG